TTTTCACAAACAAACATGAGTTGAATTGTTCCAAATTGAGCAAACTAGTCTATACTTGCTTGTGAGCATCACATAGTAATGCTAGTTAAAAAAACGAGAATAAGAGCACATAATGTTGATAAAAATCATATCATGATTAGTAGAAGCCGATCTTTGATCGGGTGCGTGGGGGTGCTCAATTCATGACCTTCCTCTCTTGTACCTAAGTTCCCGAGCCGAAACAACTTTGGTGATGACGGATACGTAGCCTTTGGCACGAGTCATGGGTTTTCCAAATTTCCTCAAAAATAAAATATTTAGGTGGCGACTCTATATCTGGCAAAATAGTCCAATTTTGGCATTTTTGATTCTAAAATCAATTTTTTAAAAGATTTTTCGAATTTGGACTCTTTGGTGTTTATCAATCTTACATTACAGTTGTGAGATTAGATTCAGAACCATGGGAGTCCGAAAACTGTAGGGCATCTTTTCGATTTTCCGAAAGGAGGCGCGAAAAAGTCGAGCTACAGGTATGTGCTTTACAGTGAAACTATGCAAGAATGTGCATATCAGTTGCACAGTTGGTATCTGTTTCGGGGCAGAATTTAGTATGGAGTGCAGTTCTACAGCTTTGATCATGTCTGTGTTAATAACATCTTAGCTGAGGTGTTGTGCGGTTTCTGATTACTGCTCTTTTGCTTTATTTCCTTTGCTAGGTGGTTTAAACCATAGCTTCCGAAGGTTCTGATATCCCCCAAGTACTCTGGACCCGTTTTGGAAGACTTTGCAAGGTCGGAGATCTTGTTTGGGAACAACCCATGTTTACCTCACTATCACTGGTTACAAGGTGAAGAACAGTCAGGCAAAATTTACTAGTCCAGTTCTTACAGCAATCATCTCCCAGCTCACCTATGTTTAGTCCGGTTTAAGAACAGGCATCGACTTATAATCCAGATCAAGAACAGTCACCTATTCCAATGGCATAGTATCCCCTGGTAAATATGTGGGACTTAATACTCCAACTGCAACAGACAGTTGAGGCATTACAACAGGGCGCGACCCGTCAGGCCGAGGTTATAACTAGGCTACAACAACAGCAACTGCAGCCAGCAGTGGCCTCTACATTACATGTGCCCACCGTGGCTATCCCTATGTCCGCTGTCACTACTAATACTGTCGCTGCTCTAGATCCATAAACCCAGGGTAATTCGATTTTCCCAGTCCCAGCAGAACCCCTCCCAACACAAGCTTCCAAAGCCCCAGTTTGTCAAACTGAAGCACCGTTTGAATTCGAGGTTGATCCTACTGTGCTCAAAGTCAACAACCTAGAAAAGCTGCTCAAAAAAGCGCAAGGAGTCAACTCCATTTCAGACATAGAGGATGGATACACTGAATCGGCATTTACATTACCAGAGCAGTTCAAGATGCTACACATTGATCACTTTGATGGTTCCGAGGACCAGATGGTTCACTTACGACTGTTTTCAGATATCTTACGGTCGATGGGCTTAACTAGACTGCAACAGCTATCCCTCTTCGGTCGCACTATGTCTGGTATAGTAGCCATTTGGTACACCAAATTAGAAGATTCAGTAAAGCAGAACCAGGAGGAGTTAGCCGAGTCCATCATTATTCAGTACTCTTACAATACACAAATTGAGGTCACAACCCGTGATCTCGAGGCGACGCGTCAAGAGCCAAATGAAGGTTTCTCCGAGTTTGTGACAAGATAGAGGGCCAAAGCATCCATGATGACCACTCGACCTTCAGAAAAGGACCAGATCAGAATGGTTGTCCAAAATCTGCATGGCAAGTTACTGCAGAAAATGATTGTTCTCCCTATATTTACATTCAAAGAGCTTCACGAGATGGGGGTTCAAATCGAGGATGCCATGAAACAAGGGATTATCACCAACGATAAGGAGCCGACTAAGAGGCCGTTTGTTCACATTTCCAATGTTGCCAGTGGTAGCACAGCTGTGAAGCCATCGGATGTAAGTGTTATCACCACAACAAAAACTGTCGACCCCTTCGCCAACCAAGGCCTGCAAACACCATCCAACCCTACTCGACCTCCGAGTAGAATTTATCACCTACTATACATGACCCTATCCAAAGCCATGCAGGTGCTGATCAAGAAAGGGCACCTAAAACCCTTAGAACCCTGCCCACTTCCTGATCCTCTTCCATCCAAACATAACCTGCAAAATACTGTGCTTTTCACCAGCAGCACGGTCATGACACCGACCAGTACTTCCGCTTGCTTCATGAGATTTAGGATCTCATTGACAACAAAGTCATCACTCCACCTCAAAAACCAAATGTTACCACAAATCGCTCCCGGCCCATAACCAAGTCCCCCCATATTAAAACCTCAACCTTATCCATACACTGGCCACCTCTTATGAACCCAGCATATATATTACCTCCTCTCACCTACCAAAACTGATATTGTTCATTCCTGAGGGCACAGATTTGTGCATGATGGACGTATCTAATCCACAATTTGAGCCTCACAATGTGGTGGCAATACCTATGGTAAAAGAGGTTTTTGCCTTGGAAGGAGGTACTAGTTTGTTGACGGGGCATCTGGGGGACCTATTTGAAAGGGCATGTGATCCGAGTTTCTATATTGTACCAAACACACAAACTAGGCCCGAAGTGGTGCTACCAACCTCAGTAGGCATTCATGTGATTAGGGAGGATAGCCCGAGCCAAGTGTTGGATGACCTAGCAGATCTCGAACAAAATCTAGAAAACTTACAGTTCTTTGATGAGCATAATTAGAGAGATGTATAGATCGGGTGGTTTGACCTGAATGGATCGACTGGTAATACCGGATGGTTGAGTGATGAGCTAGATAAGGAAGAGGAAACTGGGATGCCAGAGGGAAAGAACACTGAGATAACTGTGGTAGCCAGGAAGGCTGATGAGAAAGGAAAATTGCAAAAGTGTACATATGCAAGGAACACAACCTAGAAAGTAGGTGTTGTGAACACTACAAATACTGAACATGAAGCTACACTAAGGTAGTTTGACAGAAAAAGAATCGAAGGCAGCCAAAAAACCATAACTGCGTGTCGCCCTGAGAGGGACACTTATACTGTGAAAATGATTCAAGTAGAGTCGGACAATTGTTTGTCAGCAGCAGAGGGCGAGTGATGGGACGACAATGATTTGCATCTGGCCCATACTGACGAAGACTGGGAGGGACTGCATCCAAGATAATACATGGTATGCTCAGGATATAAACCATATTACCCGAAGTAGATGGTACTTTAAGCCACCACACCTGGATCAAGCTGAGCCATTAGAAAAAGACAAGGAGGTCGAGAAACATAAAGAGAAACAACTAGAAAAAGAGCTAGTTCTGAAGTAGCTCAAGAAAATCCAAGTTGATATCTCTATCTGGGGCTTCTTATGGCTTCACGAGTGCACCGACAGGTAGTATTGTCAACGATGGACAAAGCTAAATTGTCCATTGATACTACGCCCGAGCAACTTGTGGGCCTGGTCTTTCCAAGTGGTGCCAAGCCACTACTCACATTCTCTGGCAAAGAGCTGCCTCTAGAAGGCTCGGCTCACAACAAGCCATTATACATTTCTGTGGAATGCAAAGAGAAGTGGGTGCCAATGGTGTTGGTAGATACTAGTTCTACCATTAATGTATGTCATTCCCGTACTGCCTATGTGGTTGGTCTCAAACCAGAAGACTTTATCCCCACAACCCAGGTGATATGGGCGTATGATAACACAAGCAGAGAGGTCATGGGTACAGTGAAAGTGTGGGTTGAGGTAGGCTCGTCAGAGCAAGAGATCAAGTTCCACGTCTTGGATGTGCCAGCTACCTTTAACCTATTATTAGGGAGGCCTTGGTTACATCACATAAAGGTTGTCTCCTGCACCCTCCATTAGATGTTAAAGTATCCTTACAAGGGAGGGATAACAATGATTTTTGGGAACTCATCTATCCATCCACCTCCAGAGGTGATTACGCCAGTGCTAAAGATCAACCATGGTGATGAGGATGTATTCCTCTCGAGATTCACTCTGGTGAAAGCTCGAGTAGTGCAGACCATTCTGGTCGCGAATGAAGGCATGTACGTCAGTGCCCAATCCATTTACTTCATGAACAAATTGCTGCACGTTCCGAGAATGGGACTTGGACAGAGTGGTCGAAATTCTTTAGTTGTGTATAGATTAAAAACACTACAAAAATTTAACTTTTTGCGACGGCAAAATGCCGTCGCAAATACTCAAAATATCGTCTCAAAAGTTTTTTTGCGATGGCAAATGACTTTTAACGACAGCAAGTGAGATGTCACAACAAAAGGCGTGCTAAAAGGTTTTAGCGATGACACAATACCGTCATCTTTTTTTTGCGACAGCAAAGTTGTCTTTTTGCGATGGAATTCTACCGTGGCCATTAATATGTAAAAATCTGAGATTTTTTGAAACGGCACTGTGTTGCCATCGCTAAAAGTGTTATTTGCGATGACAAAAATACCGTCACAAGAGTGTTTTATTGCGACGGGTAACCTACCGTCGCTAAAAGTTTATTTGAGACAGCACAATAACTCCGTCTCTGAAAGGTTATTTGCGATAGCAAATAATACCGAAAGGTTTTTTTCAGTTGTTGCCAATATCTTTTGCGACGGCATTGCTTATGTCGCAAAAACAATGTGATTCTAATGTTTTTTGAGACGATGTGGTGCCGTCTCCAAAAAAAAAAAAAAAAATTGCAATAAAATTATTAAAAATATAAAAATTACCTGTATGAAATGAAAAATAACTAAAAAATAAACCGATAATTACATAATAATATAAAAATTCCAGTATAGAAATAACAATCCATCCATAATAAAAATATTCTTCCATTCATAACATTACATCAGCAAAATTAACCCACTACATAATGTTGCAAAATACATATACAATGTTTAAATACATAATGTTGTTCACAATTCAAAATAACGTAAATCAAAAACAAAAGTTTTCGTCATGATTCTTCCGTGGGTAACAAAAACAAAAGTTAATCGCAATCTTCACACGCATGCATTCCACAAGAAGCAAACTGCTACTGGGGAAATATCTGAAAACAAAAAATAAAAAAATTAATGACAATATAATTATGTGTTAATATTTTAATTACAAAAAAACGTAAAAAAATTAACTATTATATAATTACAAAGATAATTAAGTAAATAATTTTGGCTAGACAGAAATCTAGCTCTAACTCCCAAGCCGGGAACCCGATTCGAGCCCCGTCTTCTTCCACAAGTCTCTCGTGCCTAGGCGGTCGTGTGTGTCAAGTTTTGTGCTAATCCGACCCCGTTTGATGATTTTGGGGCGCCAACACCTCGAATTCAAGTTTCTTAAGGAACTAGTTTGCCTAGAGTGAAATCCGGCTCTAACTCCCAAATCGGGAACCCAATTGGAGTCTCGTCTTCTCCCACAAGTCTCTCGTGTTTAGGCGGTCGTGTGTGCCAAGTTTCGTGCCAAACCGACGCCGTTTGGTGATTTTGGAAAGTCAACACCTCGGATTCAAGTTTCTTAAGGAACTAGTTTGCCTAGAGTGAAATCCGACTCTAACTCTCAATCCGGGAACCCGATTGGAGTCTCATCTTCTCCCATAAGTTTCTCGTGCCTAGGCGGTCGTGTGTGCCAAGTTTTGTGCCAAACCGATGCCGTTTGGTGATTTTTGGGCGTCAATACCTCGAATTCAAGTTTTGAAGGAACTAGTTTGTCTAGAGTGAAATCCGCCCTTAACTCCTAAATCGGGAACCCGATTGAAGTCCCGCCTTCTCCCACAAGTCTCTCGTGCATAGGCGGTCGTGTGTGCCAAGTTTCGTTCCAAACCGACGCCGTTTGCTAATCCGACGTCGTTTGGTAATTTTGGGGCGTTAACACCTCGAATTCTAAGTTTCTTAAGAAACTAATTTGCCTATAATGAAATCTGACCCTAACTCCCAAACTGGACACCCGATTCGAGTCCCGTCTTCTCCCATAAGTCTCTCGTGCCTAGGCGGTTGTGTGTGCCAAGTTTCCTGCTATCAATGGAAAATCCTCTGTCTTTTTTCTAATTATGGAATTAGCCTCTATCATATTTGGCTGTGTATAGTTAATGTATGGTTATTATTAGCTTAGAATGCAAAGATACATTTTATACTTGATCTTCTAGTGGTGGTGTATATGGAGTCTCATCTCCTGCAACTGTCTGTTGGGACATGCATCCCACATCACATACGTGAAGCCCAAAAAATATATTAGCAGTAGGATAGAGGAAACCACTGATCTCTAGTCTTAATATATGACAAACTGAAAAAATGAAAATATTTTCACCTTGTTCCCTCAAATGAAGACTTCAATTTCAGAACGGAAACTGGCAAAGGTAGCCAATTAATGACTATTACTTATCTATTAGGATGCATTTAAATAACTTTTTTTCACTATTTACTTCAAAGTCTATTTGTCTTGACTCTTGACTACGGTCAAGAAACAAAATGTTAAAACCTTAACTATTCATTCAATTGTAATCCATTTTGCAGCACAATACATCTAAAAGCTCAAAAAACAGTTCATCCAAGGAATTTATTTTACTTTTAAATAAAACATAAGAAAACTAGAGTAAATTGATGTCTGGCCAGAGAAACCTATAATAAACTTGTTGAAAGGTGGGCTTGAATTACTTTTAAAACCAGTGTGTGCATACAAGCACATAGATGGTTTAACTTCGGTCTTGATCACCTGAAATATGAAGTGTGATTGATCTGTCATAACATGTTTGGGTTTCTATGGATTAACATGAAAAGATGGCTTACTTGGAGTGACACAAGAATATTTGAAACAACTTGTCCATAAGTATCGTGGAAATGAACAGCGAGCTTCTCCAAAGGTACAACATCAATAACAGCTTCAAGCATTGGAATAGCAGTGCCTGGGCAAAAAGAAAGGGGGGGTAAATAAATAGAAATAAGTGAAAGAGGGGGAAAAAAAACAATATGTACAATTCAGGAAATGATTGAAGGATTTATTAAACACAAGACTTTAGTTAATATACATATTTTATTTCAATTCTATAATTACTTTGATCATCCTTTACAATGGAGAAAAGTAAACAAACATGCACACTATTTGTTCAAATATACTGTTCCCGAATCCCATGGGAACATCAATTTACACATGTTTTTCTCAGTTCACACCCTCCTTTCATCGGATATCAACTACCGAAGAAAAAAGGGTTCAATTATCAATTACCAAACAAAAACCCATGGTTCAGCTATACCTTTGGTTCGGTAATTGATATCACAGTACATAAGAAAATCCACCAACAAAATAAAAACTTCTTTCAATCCTAATTTCCATATTAGGGGGAGTAAAAAAACAAGAGGAGGAAAGCAACAGTTGCCTCTTTATAAAATAAACAGTTTAATTAGTCAAATAAATGGAAAGCAAAGAGCAAAACAAAACATAAGAAAACCCACCAACATAAATATATATATATATGCATACAAATTGACAACATGTACATTTGTCTCTTCACCTTTAAGTAGCCAAAAAATTCAATCAAAATTAGCCCCTTTTTTATAACTAGGTGTCGGCGCTCTTGACTAGTACCAGAACCTTGAAGTTAAAAAGGGAAAATATTTGCCTATAAACCACAGTCTACTATTTTAGTTATAAAGACAGAAAGCATAACAAATGATTCCACCAAAAACACAACCAAACCTTCAAACTGTGATTATTTCAGAATGTATCTCTTCTCTCATGGTTGGCCTTTTGGGGAAGGAAACTAGTCTCTCTCAAGTTATTGGCATATATAAGATGATGGTAATTAAGCGAAAAATAAGAGGCCCTAAAAAAAACCCCTTCTAATTATGATGATATAGTATAGGGAACAAACAATAGTTAAGAAGTATCGACATTCTCCTCATATTCTTCTCATAGTAATGCTATAGACTTAGAAAAATTTCACAGAAAAGTGTCCAAAAAAAGCCAATGTGACAGCATTGTGCTAGAATGAATGTACACACACTATGTAGTGTTGCTAGCATAGCATTCTGATCACTTGAATTGTTTTTAGACATGTAAAATTTTTCTTCTCCACAATATCCTTAGTCTATGGTGGAAACAAAGCCATAGTTAAGAAGTATCAATATACTTCACACAGTAATGCTACATCCTCAGAATGCAGTGTGGCAACATTGTGCCAGAATGAATGCAATGCTACTAGCATAACATTTCGAATACTCTTCTCCACAATATTGTGTAGGATATGGTGGAAACAAAGCCATAACCAATATACTTGACACAACAATGCTACAAGCTCAGAAAAAATTCATTAAAAAAGTGTCCAAAATGCAATGTGGCAGCAATGTGCCCTCGTGGATGCAATGTTGCCAAATTAGCATTTTGAACACTTTCCTGGGGAAAAAAAAAAATAGTATAGCATGTTGACTACTTTCCTGGCAAGAGTTCTAACTTCTAATTCAAAGCATTTTTTGCTAGCAACAAGATGATTCAAAAAGGGGGAAAGAGAGAGACAAACCCATAAGGATGTTCAGCTAGGATCAAGGCATTTCTGATGATTTCAGCCCGGAGACGCTCCCTGGGTTCTCCCTCAGCATGTAACACACATTGTTGCAGAACGCAACACCCGCTTTTGTTAGTCGCAATTTCAAGACAGTTATCGGCTACCACAATCCAAAGGTGCTGTGCGGGAAGAAAAAAAAACACATTTTAAAGATTCACAATAGGGGTATTAATAACATCAATTAAAGAGAAGTATATGTTCTCACTTTTGAAACTGTTGAAAGCTCTGCTAGTGAGAACTATGAATTCCATATGCAAATAATATGTTTAAATTGCAATGTTGCTTCTAGGGTCACAAATTAGCCACATTTTCAACCATGAATTCATAGTTGTATATTGTAACTAGTGCAGACGGCACATGATCCTATGTCCCAAATTTCTCTGTCCCTCCTATCCTAAAATATTCACAGTTATTGAATTATGACTTCACAGTTAACGCCCCAAAGCATAACAAATGAATCCAACTAATAACAAATGAATCCAAATGAAATCAGAGTTGAGATTAGAAGTGTGGGCACTCTCACCTTCTAATCCATCAGGCCTCCATCACACAGGCCTCTGTCACACAAATCTGAATTGAGACTAGCATTTATTTACATTAAAAATATATATATATAATGGCAATTCCATAGAAAATAGAAGATATATAGAATAGAACCTCTTCAACTGCCTTCTATCTAAGGCATTCTAATCCCAGTTTTCGATCCTTATCTGCCCAACCAAATCAACATTGTACCTATGTTAAGCAGATTATTAGAGATGGCTAATTGAAAACCCTAGGAGAAGATTCAAGATTGCAAACCCTAGGAGAAGAATCGATGGGAAGGAAGAGAATACGAAACTAAGATTGTAGACGGCGGTGCTCACCTTCGTAGACGATAGTGCTCACTATCGCCGGTGGTGACGATGGATGTTCGAAATCGAGAGAGACAGAACTTCGAAATTGAGAGAGAACTTCAAAATCAAAATCAAAATTGCTCTGAAATGAATCTCTCGCCCCCCTCTCTGAAATGAATCGAAATCACTGAGGCGACGAGAGAGAGGGCGGTGAGGGAGCAGGTGTGGCGGCAGCAGTGGCGGTCGCCAGTGGCGGTCGCCGGTGGCGGCACCAAAGGCGACGACGTAGGCAGAAGAGATAAAGAGAGAGGAGAGAGAGAGAGTGAGAGTGAGAGGGAGTGCTAGGTTAGGGACTCTAGGGATTGGGGAGATCGTGAGAAAAAAATGGGGAATTGAGATAAAATTGTGGGAAAACGAAAAGAGTTTTTTTTTTCGTTAAAAAAAATATATATATTTATATATACTGTGCCATTTTGGGAACATGATAAAAAGTTACGTTTTTGGACAAAAAGCCAAAAAAGTCATTTGGCAAGTGCTAAAAACGTAGCCTTAAAATTACAAATTAGGGCCTATGAAAAATAAATAAAAAAATAACTCTCTTATGTTGGGTAAGGGTATTTTGGTCATTTTAGTTTGATTTGACACCATAAATAAATATTAAACTAAAAAGCAAAAGTCAGCTTTTTACCAACTTCCCAAATCACTTCAAAAAAAGCCAAAAAACTTGATAAAAAGCCAAAAGCCAGCTTTTTACCAACTTCCCTTAATGAATTTATTTTTTTTATTTTTCATTTTTTTTAGTTAATGATTTTTTTTTTTATTTTGCATTTCTTTTTTTAGATTTTTCATTAAAAATTTCTTTGTTTCATTTTTATTTTAATGAAAAAAAATTATTATTATTTTTTTATTTGGTAGAAGTAAGGGTAATATTTTAATGAAAAAATATTTTCTATTAAAATAAAGTTAATTTTTTGTGGTCAATGTTTTTTTTTTTTTTTTTGGTTACTATAAATCAGGAACTAATTTTTTATGGTAGAGGAGATGGAACGGCAATAGTGGTGAACGTTGTGGTGGTGGTGATGGTGAAGGAGATTAGTGGTGAAGTTGTAGTAGTGGTAGAGGAGATGGAGTGGCGATGGTGGAGGAATGGTAATGGTAGTAGTAGTGGTGGTGGTGGATAAGAGGTGATAGTGGTGGTGATGGCGAAGGAGATTAGTGGTGAAGTTGTGGTAGTGATAGAGGAGATAGAGTAGCGGCAGTGGATGAGAGGTAATGGTAGTAGTAGCAGTGGTGGTAGTAGAGTGTGTCGATGGTGGTAGTAATGATAGTCATAAAAGTGGAGTGGCAGCAATGGTAGTAGTGGTAATAGTGGAATGACATTTGCAGTGGTGGTGAAGATGGTAGAGGAGATGGGTAGTGTGAGATAGGGTGGGCGCGGGTCGGTTGCGGCCATGGAACCTCCAATCTGCCATCTGTCCGCCAATCCGCATCCGTCCACCAATTTGACGGATGCGGATTGAGCGGATTAGCTGTTTGGCGGATGGATACGAATCGGTTTAGCGGTTTGAAATTTTATAAGTTTTCAACATAGTTTACCTCGTGCACTTTCTCAAAAAAAAAAAAAAGTATTACAGTCAATGACTTAAAAAAAAGTATTACAATTACTGCATGTCTCATCCAAAGAAAGAAAATTTGAAACTTTAGAATATCACAATCACTGCATGCCTCATCCACATATTACAATCACAACATGCCTCATCCACATAAAGTATTACAATCTGTGATTCTTCAAATATAAAAACAATTCAAACCACAAAAACCATTGACAGAGCAATAGTAGAGATTGTATGTCTCTGTATTGTTACATTTATATATGTTTTGAAAACTAAAACCAACCAGCATATATATTATTTTCTATTTATTACTTTTAGAGTTAGATTTAAAAATCAAAAAATATAGATAAATAATACGTTTATTTTTTTCAATTAAAAAAATATATTCAAGTTGAAAACTTTTTTTCAATAGAATATTTGAACTTTTTTTCAATTAAAAGCACAAACAAAATATTTAAACAAATTGAAAATACAAAATCTTAAAAATTACTAAGGGTACTCACAGTTTGGCGGTTCGGTTGCAGCCAAAGGAACCTCAAATCTGCCATTCGTCCGCCAAATTGGCGGATTGGAGAAAATCAATCCGCAACCGTCCGCTTATCATCACGCATTCGTCCAAAATGCGGCGGATCGGTTCAGTTCAGTCGGTTTTGACGGATCGGTATATCCGCTGCTCACTCCTAGTGTGAAAGAGATGAATGAGAGACAGATAGAGAGATAAAGAGACAGAGAGATAGAGACAGAGTAATAAGCGAGAGAGAGACAAAGTGGTTGCTAAAAGTGCATTTTCTTGTAGTGTCTTAATAAATTAAGAGGGAACTTGGTAAATAGAGAAGAGAAGAAGGGGAGAGTGAGAAAGGCGAACACAATGAATGAGAGAGAGACAGACAGACAAATAGATGAGCAGACAGAGAGAGAAAGAGAGAGACAAGAGTGACGAGTGAGAGACAAAGACAGAGAAAGAAAGAGACAAAGAGAGACATAAAAAGAGAGAGGAACAAGAGATGAACGAGAGATAGACAAAAAGAGAGAGAAAAATAGCAAAAACAGATGAACGATAGAGAGACATAGAAAAAGAGAAAGATAGAAAGAAGAGAAATGAGTGAGAGAGACAGAGAGATAGAGATAAAAAAATGAGAGATAGAGATAAGAGAGATAAGTGAGAAAGACATAGAGAGAAGACAGATGAGAGAGATAGAGAGAAGAGAAATGAGCAAAGAGAGAAAGAGAAACAGATAGATAGACAGATAGAAAAAGAAGATAAAAGAGAAAAGTAATGAGTACGAGAGAGAAAGAGAAAAAAGAGAGATAGGAATATGAAAAATTGGGTAAAAAGAGATAGACAAAGAGAGGGATAGAGAACGAGCGAAAACAAATAAATGAGAGAGAGATGAGCGAAAGAGCGAGAGAGATAAAGAGAAGAGAGATAGAGAGAGAAAAGAGATGAGAGAGATAGAGAGAAGAGAGATGGGCTAGAGACACAAAGAGAAAGAGCGAGAGAGAGAGAGAGAGATAGACAGACAGACAGACAGAGAAGAGTAATGAGTGAGAGAGAGAAAGAGAAGGACACAGAGACATAGAGAGAAAGAGAGAGACAAACAGACAGACAGAGAAGAGTGATGAGTGAGAGAGAGAAAGAGAAGAGAGACAAAGACACATAGAGAGAGAGAGAGAGAAGAGTGATGAATGAGAGAGAAAGAGAAGAGAGATAGAGACAGAGACAGAGAGATAGAAAGATAAAAAAATGGGTGAAAAGAGAAATGTTCAAAAAAGTAAAACGACGTTGTTTTTTTTTTTGTGACAGAAAATACCGTTGCATTTATTTAAACCATTTTGTGACTATATATATATGAAGCCGTCTCAAAACCACAATATATATATATATATATTTTACTCTTTTTTTTTTGCAACGGTACCTATTACAGTCGCAAAAAACTCTTCTTTTTTTTTTTGTGATTGCAGCTGGTGCCGTCGCAATAACTTTATTTTTTTGCGACAGCAATATCTGCCGTTACAAATGCTCTATTTTTTTTTGCGACAACAATTTCTGTTTTCACAAATACTCTTATTTTTCGCGACAACATTTTATGTCGTCGCAAATACTATACTTTTTGCGACGGCAAGTTGTGCCGTCTCAAAAAGTCACATTTTTTGCGACGGCAAATGTGCCGTCGCAAAAAGTTCCGTCTTTTAAGCCCCATTTTCTTGTAATGAAAGTCATATTGTAATATTTTTTACAATGAAATGCATATTTTTTTCTTATTTATAGTAGTTTTTACACACAATTTGCATTAATTTTGTTCATTTTATTTTTATTAAAATTGAAGTCAATGTAACCCCATCAAACTTACAGAAGTTACTGTGTTTTTCAAATTTCAAGGGCGATTTGTGTAATTTTAGCTATTAAAATCTGTGTAGAAAAGTTATTTTTATATTATTTTTATTGTGATTTGAGGTGCATTTAAATACATTTCAACAAAAAAATAAAATTACACCCCTCTTTTAACAAATAGATGATTTTATTGGGAACTATGCTCTTAGACTTTTGTTTTTTGTTTTTTGTTTTTTCTTTAATGTATTGAGAATTTTATTGAATTTTTAGAAGCAACTTGGAATATTTGCTCATATTGGGTTGATATGTTCAACTTGGAATATTGATAATTCCACAGGCGGTAATTTTGTTTTTTTGAATATTTTCTTCCTCTATACAATGCTATATTTATGATTTCATAGGAGAGTAAAAAATTAAATTTTAGAATTTTCACTTGTTTCTTTAATTTTTTACTTTAAAAACTTAATATAATTATTTTTACCATGACCTCTAAAAAATGTGTACAGTACGAAATGAATTACTGTTAATAATTTACAAAAGGAAAAGGTTTTATTATGAACAATGTTAGGAATTTTAAAGAAATTAGTAAATATTCTACAAAATATTTGATAATTAATTTCGGATTTCTAGTATTTTTGTTTTATTACACAAGCATCCATAATTTTGGTTTGAATTATCAATTTTGTTTTTTCTGCCAACAAATTACGCTGGAGTTGGAGACTTTGGCTTGGTGGTTTGGCTTCTTTTCTTTCTTTTTTTTTTTAAATTTAAATATTTTCATGTTTTTTTTTAATATATGTTAAATATTTTACGTTGTATTTTTTAAAAAAATAATAATAAAAAGAATAAGAATCCTAAAAAATTTATTAAAATTTTTACCTAATATGTAAGACTCAAGTGTGCTTGGATTTGGGTTGGGACTAAAAAAACACAAAAAAATAAAAGAGGTTAAATAAGTTAATAAGATCATTCAAATCATAATCATTTTACTTTTTTCGTACAAAAAAAGGTCAAAAAATTCTTCCCAAAACAAACTAAGGTTGTTTTAAGAAGTTGGTTAAAAGCTGACCGTTTGACTTTTTTTATTTTTATTTTAAAAAAAAAAACGTATATGAAAGTAGAGAGGTGATGTAATCTAAAATAGACTAAAAGGCTTTTAGCTATGTTCCCAAAAGAGTCATAAATTAGCCAAAAAGCTAAAAAGTCAAGCCAAATTTTTTTTTCTCAAACCCTAGTATGTAATTTTTTTTTTAATTTACTAATATTTCTATTTTAAAAGACAAAAAAAAGGGGTTAATTACAAAAAAAACTCAAGATTTTACGTATTTTTCACTTTAAATCCCAATATTTCAATTTCGATAAATTAAATCTTAAAATTCCATCCGTATTTCAATCTACCCTATCCATTCATTTCCGTCTGTGTAAAATAACAGAGGGGGGTTTAAAGTGAAAAATATGTGAGACTTTA